CCAAATGGAAAATTACATAATGGTACTCAAAATTTCTGATATTTACCATTTCAGCCCCAACTTTCAGAATTAAACAATTATGTCCAGCAAACCAATTTCCACTTTCTTATTTTGACAATTCAGTCCAATTGGCTTATTTCAATCCGATACTCAAAGCTTTGTTAATTACGAACTAATCCCTTACATTGTAATCTGGCATGATTGACGCCCAAACTTTCCGAATTTCATAAACCGCCCAACCTCTAAAAGATCTAATTGCCCTCTATTATTCACCAAATTAAGAAAATCATGTCATTGACTTCCAAATGAATGGGAAGAAGAACTTACCTTCCGTTCACCCTCTTCTTTCGTAACGTAGCCATTCCTTCCGGCTCTTCCCTAAAAAATTAGAATCCTAGGCTCACCCCCACCCCCCCCCCCCACTTCCTCCTTCATTTCCTCGGGCAACAATTCGCTTGTGGCTGGCGTCACTGGAGCTCTGGCACCACCGTTGACCCCATCATCGACTTCCCTTTCTGGCTGCACTTCGGAGGCCAACTACGAATCGGCGACACCCTGGGTCGTCTAGGAGGGTAGGCTGGGGGTCTCTCCATCGCATCACCACCAAAAGTCATGACCGTCATTTCCGAGTTCGAGGCCTTCCTCCCGAAGGTCACGACTCCTCTTCTCCTTCTCACCCGCGTGAACTTCTTCATTGATCTCCCCCACTCGTCTCTTGTTTGCTTCTCCCTAAACAGAAGCAATCAGCTCTTGTGTACGTATGGGAAGCAACCACCTCTCGTGCCACTGAGGGCAACAACTGGCAAACGACACATGACCCTCACCCTCACTCGTCTCCTACCTGCTTGGCGCTGGGGCGAATGGCAACAATTTCCCTCCTCTATTTCTCTCCGACTCTCGCTGCTCCCTTTTCCTTTTTTATTGATTCTGATAATCGAGAGACAGGCTCTCTTGACCCCAATTAAATCTCCAATTACTACCAATCCCCAAAAGTCGCCGTCACCGCCAAAACTATCTGTCGAATTGATTGACCTTTCGGCTTCCATGACCTGCAACTACTCTGCTTCTCGGCCGGTTCTTCAAAGGAACAACAATTCCTCTTCCCTTCCTTTTCAGCTACTGGGCCACCAGCGCGCTTCCCCTGTCTTTCTCTTTTCCTCCTCCCCTTGCTTGAGCCCGTTTCTCTTCTTCCCTCTCAGCGACCCAAGAGGCCCACTCCTCTAATTCACATCGTGGGCCTAAGCCGTCCTCTCTTCTGCTCAACTCTCTTATCCACTTGGGCTTAAGCCCATCACATTTTAATTTAAAAGTTAGCCTTCCATGACTCCGGGCCGAGGCCCATTCGACCTGAACCTGAAACCCAATAGTGAAAACCATTCCCAACAAAACCTGCCCAATTAGCAAACCCACTCGGTCAATTTACAGCCGTAACTTGGTCATTTTACCTAGAAATTTGCCACCGTTTGGACCGAGAGTTCACATTTTTAATCCTCATCGATATTACGGTGGAAATTGAAGAAATAATCCATGGTTACAATAGTTATTTTGAATTTTTGGAAAGAGTAGGGTGTAACACCCATTAAGTTCGTTGACTTCTGGATGCATCATCCTGATTTTATGGAACTTGTTCAGAAAGCTTGGTCATCTGAGGTAGCATGATCCCCATAGACAATAGTGCAGAGCAAGCTAAGGGGAGTAAAGAAATGTTTAAAGCAACTTAATAAGAATGATTATGCCTATGATGAGATAACTGGCATAGTGAAGGATATAGAAAATAAACTTGTTAGAGCCTTGAGAGAAGCTTTGGAATCACCTTCTGAAAACAGTTTTGGAAAAGTGGGTCAGTTACAAGAACAAGCAAATGAACTACATAAAGTTAAGGAACTGTTCTACAGACAAAAATAAAGGGTCTCCTAGCTTAATGTAAGAGACAAAAGCACAAGATTTTTTCACCGGGCTGTGAAAATAAGAACATCTCACAAAGCAATAAGGAACCTGGTTAATGAGATGGGGCAGGAATTAGTAAAAACTGACAACATTGTGGCTGAGGTAGTTAATTTCTAAAAGGGATTGTTTGGGGTTGCAGATGGAGAGGGTAATCTAAACAAAGAGAAAATGTAAAGCATATTCACTAGATATTTGGAACAAGAGCAACATGTGAGCTTAATTACTTATGTGAATGCAGAAGATGTGAGAGTTGTTGTCTTTGTGATCATGCTCTCTTCACTTATTAGCGTAATGATGTCTTCGTTGTCACCCTTATTTACGTTGATTATGTGATTCTTGCAAGTATAGATTTGGGTTTTATTAACTCGGGTCAAAGAGTTTCGTCATTCCAGTTTCACTTTCAAGGATCTAGGCCCGCTCAAGTATTTACTTGGAATTGAGGTGGCTCACTCTCTGCGTGGTCTTGTACTCAATCAATGCAAGTATGTACTTGACATACTTGGTGATGTTGGGTTAGAGGACGCCAAGCCATGCTCGAATCCCATCGAGCAGCAACATCAACTAGGTCAACTTCCTTCTTCTCTGGCTATTGATCTTTGTTCCTACTACCGACTTGTTGGTTGCCATCTATACCTCATTGTTACGCGTCCAAATATTACCTATGTTGTCAATCTTCTCAGTCAGGCCATGCAGTCCCCTACTAAAGCTCATGAAGAGGTTGCCCTTCGTTCTGAGGTATCTCAAGTCTTCACCAGGTCGTGGTCTTTTCTTTTCTATTACCACTCCCCTCACATTAGCGGCCTACTGTGATGCTGATTGGGGTGGCTGCACTCTCACTCGTCATTCCATGACTGGATACTTCATTATGTTGGGTCTTCTCCCATTTCTTGACGTACCAAGAAACAAGCCGTGGTGGCTCATTCTACTGCCGAAGATGAGTATCGAGCAATGGCTAGCACAGTCAATGATGTTATTTGGATCTGGTGGCTGCTTCATGACTTAGGTGTTACCTCTTCCGCCCCTACTTTGTTGTTTTGCGACAATCAGGTGACACTTCACATTTCTGCTAATCTTGAGTTTCATGAATGAACCAAACATGTTGAGATGGATTGCTATTTTGTTCATGAACGCGTTCAGTCACATGATATTGCTTCTGCGAATATTGCTACTTCATATCAGCCAGCTGATGTCTTCACGAAGGGATTGAGTGTTGAATAGTGTCATCGTCTCTTAGTTAAGCTCGGACTTCTTAACATTCGCTCCTTCGCTTGAGGGGGAGTGTTGTGATTCCCACATACATTTGTAATAAATATAGGGATCACTTCAATATTTTTTTTCTCCTAGTTGCCTACGTAGAAGGAGTTATCATATTTGGGTATTTTGTATATAATTGTTGTTGTAGCACAACCGAACCCTAAGAAGAAGAAAAAGAGAAAAAAAAATAACTCCGAGATCTTCAAGCTCTCCGTGGTCTAGTCCCATTCGTATCGAGCGGGAAAACCACATAAAATCACTTTTGTGTTCCTTCCGCGTTCCGTTTCTTTAGAATTTTACATCTCCGAGATCGTCATAGTCTCACAGATATTAGATGAAGGTTGAAGTACAACAGTTGAGGAGATTTAGGTAGACATACCATCTAACTTTTTAATTCTTATGCGATAACGGTAACACAAATCTGATATGATCTATTAATATGAAATGACTCAGACTGTACTGTATAAAATAATTGAACCTAACTTTCCAGCAGGGCCGACCTTGAGGGTGTGCCAGTCGGCCCTCCGGCACAGGGCCTCCAAATTTTGGGGGCCTCCGGACCTCCAAATTTTGGGGGCCTCCGGACCTCCACTATGTGTATGACTAATTACAATTACGAATTATTAAATTTTGATTATAAATTTAAAATGATAGAAAATTTATGAATTGAGTTTTGATTATGGGTGTAAAACAATAATAAAAAACTTAATTTCGAAGGTTAAAGGAACGAACGAATCACATGAAGCGAATACTTGTTTTCTTATTAAATTTTCAAACCATATAACATAAATTATTCTTTGTCGCGTGTTTCCTATATTGAACAAAAAAGATAATTAATGATGCCTCATTATTATCATTATTAAATTAGTTGCTTTAACTTTCTTCATTTTCAACTTTCCAAGGGGGAAAGAATTCAATTTCGTCAATTAATTTGCTTGTACTACCAAGGCAATAGTGCTTAATTAATTAAATAATTTTCATTGATTTATTAAATGTTAACCAAAATATTTAGGTATAAGCAACAATAGTATAAAGGAAAAAAAACTAAATCAATTATAATTTGCATTGACTTATTAACTATTCATGTGATTCATGCTACAGCAGGAAGAAACTTTTTGAAATTGAAATTGTTCAAGTCTTATATGCGCTCTACAATAACATAAGAGAGGTTTAACGAGTTAGTTATGTTAGCAATTCAGAATAACTATCTGGATGATGCAAAGCTGAAAAAGCTAATAAAGGATTTTATTTCAAATAATACTAGATGATTGCTACTTTTTAAACAATGATAGATTATTTTATAACTTATGTAGTTTTATTATTATTATTATTATTATTATTATTATTATAGATTTAAGAATTTTTAGTTTTAATAAATTTACGGAAAAATTTTTAGGATCACATATTAAATTTTCGAAAAAACCTAAGAATATCATGGCCGACCCTGCTTTCCAGAGCCAATCATGCCACAAAATGGAAGTACTTGAAGCTAGAGATGCCTACATTCAACCGCCGGTAGAGATCAAAACGCAATTAAACAGAAGGCATGGGCGCCGATGTACAGAAGGTTGGGGAAATGCCAAAGTTGACCGGGATGTATGCTTCACCATCATGTGCGCCTATCAGCATTTCTGGATCTCAGTACGTACTTGATTTGTCTCTTTCGAACCTGCACAACTAGTTATACTATACATGCATGCAAACAGATCACTCGATTATTGCTTAATATATGCTACATATTCACTACTCAATTTTCTTCTATTATATATCGACGTTGGTTTTGGAAGTTCAGAAATATTGCGCTCTCCAATTATCTTTTGTTCGACAACAATGGATATGTGTATAGCTGTTGTGTAACGGCAGCCACAATATTGTATGGTTGGTCACCGAGATTACAAAAAAACGTTCAAGTTTAGTCACTCGAAATATTTAAATTCATTGGTAGTACTTCACTTTACTGAAACCGTTCACGTTTGGTCACTCTCCGTCAACTCTGTTAACTTTTGCTTACGTGGTGGTCAACTCTAGAAGTTGACCATTAAATGTGTGACGTGGCAATTTAAAATTAATAAAATAAATTTTTTAAAATTTTCATCTCATTTCCACCTCATTATCAATTTTATTTAAAATAAATAAAAAATCTTAATTTCTAGTAATCTACCATACCAATACCCGACCACGAACCAATGCCACTCACCATGGTCAGCATCGTGAACAACGATTTATCGTCCATGGCCACAATGGAGGAATCTGGACACCGCCAGGCGCTTGGGGCTGGGCAGAGCCTCCGAGGCGGGCCGGCTGCCGTCATGGAATCTGCCGCGACAGTCAACTACGGAGTTGGCGTCGTCCACCGCAACCAAGTCACCGACTCCGTCAGAAAAGGCTGTCGTCTTCGTCCTGGTATAAGTAATTCGAAAGGTTCTCCTCAAAGTCTTGCGACGACTCCGCCGCTTCCATCAGCACCGAATGCGGGCTGTCCGAATTGATCACATCACTCTTCCCCGTCGCCGTCGCTTCCTCTGGCTTCATCGGCGGCGACGGAATAATGTCCTGGACCAATGCAGTCAAAATTCTACCTAGAAGCGGTGGGGTGACCTAGAAGCGTAAAATCGCAAACTTTTAAATTTTCAAACATAGATTTTGACTACATTTGTAAGGGAAAATCACGATTCTACGTACAAGCGTTGTGGTCACCCAAAAAGGTAAAAACGTAAGTTTTTAAATTTTAAAGCGCGATTTTGACTACATTGGCCGGGACCATAAACGTAGTCGTTCCACCCAAATTAGTCAGATTCGCCCTCGTCCCCAATTTCTCCTTCAGCGAATTCACTTGTGGGGAAATTCTCGACACAATCAGGCTAAAATTATGGGTCTCCCCCGGAGATTAGGAAAGCAGGGTTTTTTTTCTCTTACCTCGTTTTTTAGGGATTCTTTTTCTTGGAGCAGGGAGTTGTAATCGGATTTGAGGCGGTCGAAGTTGGCATGGAGGGAGTCGAAATCTCTCTCCAGCTGCTTGTTCTTGAACCGAGCCGGGCGATTCTGGAACCAAATGGCGACCTGGCGAGGCTGCAAGCCGAGCTCCTGGGCAAGCTACACTTTTTTTTTATTTATTTTAAATAAAATTGATAATGAGGTGGAAATGAGATGAAAATTTTAAAAAATTTATTTTATTAATTTTAAATTGCCACGTCACACATTTAACGGTCAACTTTTAGAGTTGACCGCCACGTAAGCAAAAGTTAACAGAGTTGGACGGAGAGTGACCAAACGTGAACAGTTTCAGTAAAGTGAAATACCACCAATGGATTTAAATATTTCGAGTAACCAACTTGAACGTTTTTTGTAATCTCAGTGACCAACCATGGAATTAACCCTATATATATAAGAGATTTTCTTAGTCGAATCGTCGGTAATATAATCTTACACACCCCGCTTTCTCGTAACTTCAAACTCAATGGGTCACGAATTCTGGCTTTATTTGAGAGGATATATATTTGATATTGACATAACATATAAATCACTTAATAAATACTGTTCTGATCTTGTTACAGTTGGAAAGCGATCGGAGGCAAGTTGGGAGCAAGCGTGATGCGGAAGGGCGGCCGCATGGATAATCTGAAATACCCCACCCGCACTACTATAACTACTGTTTCATCTACATGCGTCCTCCTCAATCCTCATCTCTTCCATCTTCCGATTTCCTTTTATAGTCGTAAAAGAAAGAAAGTGGGAAAGAGAGAATGCTGACGAAGAAGAAGACGAAGAAAGAAACGGTACCCCTTTAATTGTACGACAGATATGATCACATGCTAATGCTATAGCATTGCTAGCTCGTGGAGATTGAGGGCCCAGCTAAGATCTGATTTCCTGGCTTAATCATCATCATACATATATGAAATCCACTGCCATTGATTGTTTCATTGGAAATTAGATACATATTGGGATTCTCTGTTGCAAGTGGGAGCTCTTGTAGGTTGAAGATTTTGGTAAAAGTCTGATTTGATTAGCAAAAAGACTGTCGGGTTGTTTGATAAGTTTTTATTTTTTATTTTATATATAAGTTGATAAGTTGATTAAGAAGAAATTGTTTCAATATTTTTGTTAACTTCTGAAAATCAATGATTCGTTACAGGGGCGGAGCTATGTTGTTCTTCGGGGTGGCCCCGGCCCCCCCCCCCCCCCCCCCCCCCCCCCCCGAGAATTTTGAAATCACGTGTTAAGTTCGATAGGAATTTGAAAATTTACGTATACACCTAATAATATAACTAAATTTGTGTGCAAATTTGTGACATCAATGTTTGGGTGGCTCAGCGGAAGGATTCACGCTTGTTACATTCAGTGGCCGGGTTCGTACCCAGTGCACCTCCCTTTTTTACATTTTAGAACATGGAAGTTTAATGTACAGTGGTTTAATTTGACCTTCATTTTAGAACATGGAAGTTTAATGTACAGTAGTTTAATTTGACCAAAGAGCAATTTAATAAGTTAATAATTATCATATATAGGTCAATTTTAATTTCTTTAAAATTAAAATATAGTTTGATTAATTTCCTCAACTTTTAAATTTATATTCTTAATGATTCTCTTGGTTAGATGATTAATTATGTAACTTTTTATTTGACAAAGAGCAATCTTATAATTTTTATAGTATGTTTTATAAGTATTTTACTTTTAATAATTTGTTAAACATAGCATTTAGAAAATTTGTTTTAGATTCTAATTTGAATGAATTTTTAATATAAAATAAAGTCTTATATTATTATTATTATACTATTAATTAATAATATTATTATTTTCTTGATAACAAATTGGCGCATTGTTTATATTTAACTTGATAACAAAATTTTTGAATTGGATTTATGAGTTTAAACTCAGATTACTTCCTTGCTCTTATTCTTCTATTCCTTTTGTACTATTGTTTTTTAACATAAAGGTTTTGGCAGCCCTCTCATAGTGAAGTGAGTTTTTCCTATTAAAAGAAAGAAGTGAGTTTTTCCAATGTATGGGAAGAAGGAAAAAAAACCAAATTCGTAAACCTTTTAAATTTGATGACTTGAATATGCATGTCAAATTCGGAAGTGGATGCATAACCTGCCACATTATTATTTATGGAAGGTCTCTAACATTTTTTTTTATAATTTTTAATGGACTATTTCTTATGTTAAGTCATAACTTTTTTTGCACAAATATACGAGATTAATCATGCTCTTCAAAATGATATCACTTTGATATATTTTTGCATAAAAAAATGAGACATTTATGATCAATCTATACCATAGTGGTAATAATTGGTATTACATAAGATCATATCATCTTGTATGAAAGTGTATCATGTGGTATGAACATACAATAATGTAGATTTGTTGAATACATGGTACTGATGGTAGTAGAAATATATATACAAACTGTCATTTACCACATTCATAATTGTTTACCACAAGTTACGTACCACCCATGACCCATAAACCAGGGTGGAATGTAGTTGTATATTTTGGTCCTGTATTTTTTCCATAATTTTTAGACCAATACATCGCGATGAACTCGTTCATTCTGTGCAAAAAAATTCAAAATTCAAGTTAAAATGAAGGTGGTAACGAGTTATATGATTTTATTAAAAATCTATTAAAATTTGATCTCATTTTGTAGATCACATGTATCTGTCCAAAAAAAATTAAAATCCAAATTAGAATGAAGAAGATAAGAGCATATTAAGAAAATTAAAATAATCAATATTTCTCATCTCTTAAATTTGAGTTTTATACAATTATGCCCCCAGGTTAAACCTTCAAATCTGCACCAAAATGTTTTGGTGCATTTGGATAGAATGATTTGTATTTGGTATTTGTGATTTGTATTTCTAAAAATAAAATCATGTGTTTGGATATTAATTACATTTGGTAATTGGACTTGTGTCAAATTCATGGAGTGATTTCCAAATACATGTCCAGTGTATTACTTGTCAACTTGAAATACATTTCAACAATTAGTGATTTGAAATACCTCCTAACAAAAGATTGGACCTATTTGTAAAATATTAAAAGTATAGGTACTATAGTGTGAGGCAAAACATATAAAGGTACAAAACATAATTTTACCACCAAAATTTCAGGACCTTTTTTGTAAAATTTAAAAACTTTAGATATCAAATTGTAAGAAAAAATAAATTTGGGAACCAAATTGTAATTTACCAAAATTTGTAGTAAGTGACCAGAAAATTAAAAATTAAAATAAAAAATCATAAAACTAAAAATTAAAATAAATTATAAATAAGTATCCAAACAACGAATTTAAATTACAAATATTTCAAATGTAAAGTAACGCACCATAAGAAACAAATGAGTCCTAAGATTCTATGACTAATTGATTGGAATTCGACAACCATCCGTACCTAGACGAAAAGTATAAGATAAACCAAAAACAAGAAGTTTCAATTGCACTTTCATCTTAATTCCATTTAATTTGGTATAGGAAAAAGGATATTGGTGCTTAACTATCAAGACTAATTAATTAGGTCATGCATGTGCACCAGGTTTGGCATAGACCGACCTCCTTTTCCTTTTTCCTTCCTTGTAGCGAGTCTAGTTTTTGCTAGTACTACTGAAATCTTCGGCTGACCGTTGACTATAAGCAAGCAAACTGCATGGATGACGTACCAAGTGATGTAAACCGATTCATGTCCCCATCCAACATTTCAATTTCTTTTGTTAAAAACACACATATGTCTAGTTTCATTCTAATCTCCTCAATAACACTTAATTATAAAAATTAACCTTTGTTATCTTTACAAAAAATAATTAAATAAAATAAAACTTAACTAACTAGATAACATGGTGAATGACGCGAACAATTAACCTAACATACATCGATTACTAGTTTAATTACATGGTTTTCCGACGACCCTTTCCATGGCAATATCTGTTGGAAATGTATATGAATAGCCTTGAAAGCTATAGAGTCTCTAGTGGAAAAACTACCACATTGGTAGTTTTACTTGGTGAAATGTGTATAAAGATAGGAGCCTCTCTCCCAAGGGCATGCCCCTTGGGGTGACCCACTTTTGTGGGAGAGTGAGGACCTAACGGACCACCACGCGCGCGCCGTCCGTCCGACCGGTCGGTCGGTTGGTTGGCTTGAGACTATATATTTTTTTTTTGGAGAAATTCCGAACGAAATTAATTATCTAATCATTAATTAAGGATAATCGACTAAAACGGAATATTCGAAGGATAATCCCTCCGGGTTTATCTTAACCGACGGTTTTAATTAAGGAAGTAATTATCTTCCTTAATTAATCCGACTTATTCCCCAAGCAAGAGGGTATATTCCTAGGGGTTCGGCTCCTATAAATAGCCGCCTCCCCAGCCCCTCTAAACACATCACAACGAGCATAAACACAATAGAGAGAGTGTTTAGAGAGCTTCGGTTTTCGCACAAAACCGCGAGTATTGAGAGGAGCTGTTTTATCCTGGAGACGACCGGTTGATAGTCTGCCGTGCGCATCGAAGGCAGTGCCGCGAACGTCTTAAAGAGAGCGACCTAGTCCGCGACTCAGCTCCAGATTCGGTAACCTCGTTCCTTTTGTTGTTCCGTTCCTAACAATTTTAAGACGTTCGGCTACTGCTATGTCAACTGAACAGAACAACATGGCCGGATCTGGTGCTGTCGATATCAATCGACCCTTCCGCTTCGTTGGGGTCAACTTCCGTCGCTGGAGGCAAAAGATGGAGTTCTACCTGACAACCAAAAAGCTGGCCCACTGCCTCACCAGCATGCCCGTCGAGCTGCCGGAAGAAGCGACCGATGAGGAGAGGGCTGCTTCTGCTAGGGAAAGGGAGCATGACTTCCTGTGCAAGAATTACATCCTCAACGGCCTGGCAGACGATCTGTACGACTACTATGCGGACAGTAAGAACACCGCGATGATGATCTGGGATGCGCTCCAAAAGAAGTACGACACGGAGGAGGCTGGAGCTAAGAAGTATGTTGTCAGCCGCTACCTGCGCTACCAGATGGTGGATGACAAGTCCGTCGAAGTTCAGTCCCACGAACTTCAGAAAATAGCTCATGAGATCGTCTCTGAAGGTATGCCTCTGGACGATCAATTTCAAGTTGCTTGCATTATTGATAAGCTGCCCCCTTCGTGGAAAGATTTTAAGAATATGCTTAGGCACAAAACCAAAGAATTTTCACTGGAAAGCTTGATTACTCGCCTAAGGATTGAGGAAGAGTCCCGCAAGCAGGATATGAAAGAAGAGGTGATGGTCGTCACTGCTAAACGACCCACCCCTAGAGCTCTTAAACCTACCCAGAAAGGGTTTAAGAGTAAGAACCAGCAGGTCCGCCCCCACCAGAATGGTGCCTCTCGAGGTAACCAAAGGGTCATGGCCCAAACCTCTAAGAATGACCCACCGTTTATCTGCTATAACTGTGGAAAACCGGGTCATATGGCAAAGAAGTGCCGGAACAAGCAAAACCCTGCCGCTGCGGCCAGGGTTAACTTGACAGAAGAGGATTTGATAGCCATGATCACAGATATGATCGCTGAAGTTAACCTCACCGGTGACTCAGAAGGATGGTGGCTGGATACAGGTGCATCGAAGCATGTATGCAACAATCGTGCTATGTTTAAAACATACACAGAAGCACCTGCTGACAAGAAAGTGTTGTTGGGGACTACTCACACCACTATGGTTGCTGGTTCTGGTGAAGTGGAGCTGAACTTCACCTCTGGGAAGAAGATGGTGCTCAAGGATGTGTTGCACACTCCAGAGATAAGGAAGAATCTTGTTTCGGGATATCTTCTTAATAAGGCCGGGTTTAATCAAACTATTGGGGCAGACTTGTATACCCTTACTAAGAATGGGAGTTTTGTGGGAAAGGGATATGCATGTAATGGGATGTTCAAGTTGAATGTCGAAATTATAAGATGAATTCTTCAGTTTACATGGTGTGTGATTTGAATGTTTGGCATGCTCGTCTTTGTCATGTGAACACACGAATTGTGAAGAATCTAAGCAAGCTAGGACATATCCCTAAACTCTCAATGAATGAATTTGATAAATGTGATTTCTGTAGCCAAGCTAAAATAACGAAAACGCCCCATAAATCTGTGACTAGAGAATCAGAACCCTTAGATCTTATTCATTCTGATATTTGTGAACTAGATGGGACGTTAACTAGGTCTGGCAAGAGATACTTTATCACTTTCATAGATGATTGCTCTGATTACTGCTTTGTTTATTTGATGAAAAACAAAAGTGAAGCCCTTGATATGTTCAAGGTATTTGTGGTTGAATTTGAAAATCAGTGCAATCAAAAGATAAAAAGACTTAGGAGTGATAGAGGATCAGAGTATTACTCTAATCCCTTCAAGGAATTCTATAGCTCACATGGTATCATTCATGAAACCACGGCACCATATTCACCAGAACTGAATGGTAAAGCTGAGCGGAAAAATAGAACGTTTACAGAATTAGTTGTGGCTATTATGCTCAATTCTGGAGCTGCTTCTTCTTGGTGGGGTGATATTTTGTTGACAGTTTGCTATGTGCTAAACCGTCTTCCAAAAACAAATAGAAAAGAATCACCCTATGAGATCTTGAAGAATAAGCCACCTAATCTGTCCTATTTAAGAACGTGGGGCTGTTTGGCCTACGTAAGAATTCCGGATCCTAAGAGGATTAAATTGGCTAGTCGAGCATATGAATGTGTCTTCGTTGGCTATGCGGCCAATAGTAAGGCATATAGATTCTATGATTTGAATGCTCGTACTATAATAGAATCCATTGATGCTGATTTCTTTGAGACACGATTTCCATTTAAAACGAGAAATAGTGGGTGTAATGTACTACCCGCTATTAGAGATAACGGAACTAGTGGGGGTGTTGGTTCTGAGGATGAACTCAGAAGAAGTAAAAGAGCTAGAATCTCAAAAGATTTTGGTGATGACTTTACTACAGTATTCACCCTCGAAGATCCAAAAAGTTTGCAGGAAGCGTTAACTTCCGTAGATGCAGATTTTTGGAATGAGGCCGTTATAGATGAAATGGAATCGTTAGAAGCTAATAAGACTTGGCATCTAACAGACTTACCTCCTGGCTGCAATGTCTTAGGTAATAAATGGGTTCTAAAAACGAAACGGAAACCTGATGGTGCAATCGAAAGGTTCTGAGCTCGCCTAGTAGTTAAGGGCTACAGGCAGAGAGAGAATATAGATTTCTTCGATACCTATTCACCAGTATCTAGAATAACATCCATTCGTGTAATGATTGCTCTTGCTGCCTTGAACAATCTCGTGGTACACCAAATGGATGTTAAGACCGCTTTTGTGAACGGTGATCTGGATGAAGAAATCTATATGGAACAACCAGAAGGGTTTGTTATCCCCGAACATGCCTCGAAAGTCTGTAAGTTAGACAAATCATTATATGGTTTGAAACAGGCTCCAAAACAGTGGCATGAGAAGTTTGACTCTCTCATTCTCTCACATGGCTTTAAGGTGAATGAAAGTGACAAGTGTATTTACTGCAAGTCAGAAAATAACACTTGTACTATCATATGTTTGTATGTAGATGACATGTTGATATTTGGTACAAATATTCACGTGGTCAATGAAGCAAAAGCCATGTTAAAAGAGAGCTTTGAGGTGAAAGATCTGGGAGAAGCAAAGTTTATGCTTGGAATCCAGATAACTAGAACAGCAAATGGTTACTCTCTAGATCAATCTAGCTATACAGAGAAGATCTTGAAGAAATATAACTATTTCGACTGTAAACCTGCGTGTACTCCGTATGATGCTAGTGTAAAGCTATTTAAGAACACTGGAGACAGTGTAAGACAATCAGAATACGCTAGCATCATTGGCAGTCTCCGTTATGCTGCGGATTACACTCGACCAGACATTGCATATGTCGTGGGATTGCTTGGCAGGTTTAACAACTGTCCTAGTAGAGAGCATTGGAATGCTATAGAGAGGGTCATGAGATACCTCAAGAGAACAGCAAACCTTGGTATACACTATCAAAGGTTTCCTGCTGTACTAGAAGGGTATAGTGATGCGGATTGGAATACCCTATCAGATGACTCCAAGGCAACCAGCGGGTATGTTTTTAACATCGCTGGTGGAGCTGTGTCTTGGAAGTCAAAGAAACAAACAATCCTAGCTCAATCAACTATGGAATCAGAGATGATAGCACTAGCAACGGCTAGTGAAGAAGCAAGTTGGTTGAGAGGATTGTTGTGAGAGATTCCCCTATGGGAAAGACCGGTCCCTCCGGTATTGATCCATTGTGATAGTACCGCAGCTATCGCTAAAGTTGAGAACCGGTTCTATAACGGAAAGAAACGACAGATTCGTCGTAAGCACAGTACTGTAAGAGAACTCCTAACGATAGGAGCAGTGAGGGTGGATCATATAAGATCCGAACAGAATCTAGCTGATCCTTTGACGAAAGGATTACCTAGAGAGAAAGTCCAGAATACCGCCAAGGGTATGGGACTTATGCCTACCGAACCACGGACTACAAGTGATGGTAACCCGACCCAATAGACTGGAGATCCCAAGAAATGGGTTCAATGGGTAATAACAAGTCATGAGTAGTATGCGAAAAGTTCATGCATAGTGAAGCATGAATCCCAAAGCATTGGAGGTTGAGTTAATAACTCTTAATGAGATCTATACCCTATGTGGGGTGGAGTACTTTACTTTGGGGGTACTCTTGATAGACTCACCTATGTGAATGTGGGAGTGGGGCCGCTCCCTATGGAACTTTGGAGGCACAAAGTTGCTAGAGCGTTCACTAAACCAGGGTAACGTGCATGGCCATAAACGCACGGGCTATGAAGAGAACACAACTCAATGAAAAGATCCGGTGTGCTACACTGTCTGAGATAGGGTTCAAGAATACGAGTCACCCTTATGAAATCGGAAGTGTAACCACTACGCTAAGGTTCAAATCTTCGCGATACCTTAGCTTATGCCCGATCTTATGGAACTGTTGATGCTCAGAGATAGTTTCAAAACTATTCAAGTGGGGGATTGTTGGAAATGTATATGAATAGCCTTGAAAGCTATAGAGTCTCTAGTGGAAAAACTACCACATTGGTAGTTTTACTTGGTGAAATGTGTATAAAGATAGGAGCCTCTCTCATGCCCTTGGGGTGACCCACTTTTGTGGGAGAGGGAGGACCTAACGGACCACCACACACGCGCGCGCCGTCCGTCCGACCGGTCGGTTGGTTGGTTGGTTCACTTGAGACTATATATATATTTTTTTTTGGAGAAATTCCGAACGAAATTAATTATCTAATAATTAATTATTAATCTGTTATTCTGAGGTATATTCCTAAGGATAATCGACTAAAACGGAATATTCGAAGGATAATCCCTCCGGGTTTATCTTAACCGACGGTTTTAATTAAGGAAGTAATTATCTTCCTTAATTAATCCGACTTATTCCCCAAGCAAGAGGGTATATTCCTAGGGGTTCGGCTCCTATAAATAGCCGCCTCCCCAGCCCCTCTAAACACATCAGAACGAGCATAAACACAATAGAGAGAGTGTTTAGAGAGCTTCGGTTTTCGCACAAAACCGCGAGTATTGAGAGGAGCTGTTTTATCCTGGAGACGACCGGTTGATAGTCTGCCGTGCGCATCGAAGGCAGTGCCGCGAACGTCTTAAAGAGAGCGACCTAGTCCGCGACTCAGCTCCAGATTCGATAACCTCGTTCCTTTTGTTGTTCCGTTCCTAACAATATCATCTATCTTTTAGTTCATATATATTTTGAGACCGGACACTTCACATGAATTGATAAATGAATTTGATCTTGACCATTAACAAAATATATAAATCCTACCTTCCACATGCAGATGTAATCCGCAAAGATTTAGTTTTTTGGAGTGACGCGACTGTGGGCAGGGCCAGGGAACTCGATCGAAGGATCTCGTTCTCAGTGGTGTTGCTAGCTAGCCACTGCATCTATATAGATCCAGGTCAGTGCCACGTATGCACGCATTCATGCATTGCCAAGTTGCTAGCTAGCTATCACATTTCAAAGAACAGTTGATTATCGGATTAATTGTTTGGTCATTGATATTTTAAAAAAAGTTTATGTTTGGTCACTCGAAATATTTAATTCTATTGGTGATTCCTAACATTAATTAAACGTTTCAACTTTAGTCACTCTCTGTTACCTTCCATTAGTCTCGGTTAACGACATCAATTTTTTGCTGACGTAGCTAACAGAAATGCCTAATCAGCATATTTAAATACAAAAAAGATTATACCCAACCCACCACATCATCAAAACCAAACCAACCCTTCGCAACCCATCACCCGACCATTTCCCCGCCTCCCTGTGACGTTGAACCGAAGGTCGGCCACTACCTCTCTCTCTCCAATCCCCCGACTCGCAGCCGTTCACCTTCCCGATTTTAATGCTACTCTCTCCCCAATCCGGGGGCAGATTGGGGAGGACTGTTGTTGATACTGGTGTTGTCAATGGGCGATCTGGAAAGAAGAGTCGATGGGCATTTCTGCCGGAGCTGAAGAGGGCGAAGGGGGAAGCGATAGATCTGATTAGATTTTGGCCCCTTCACAACGCCTATGCCATCTCTGCGACCATCAACCTCACCACCGTTGTGGGCGTCAATTCTCGATCTTCTTCGTTCTGACACTCTCACTTATTCCCTTCCTCTCCCAGTCCCTCATGTCGGACACCCTGACCGACCAATCTAGGAATTGCTTGATGATTTTCTCGACCCTTCATCTTTCCAGCCTTCGATTGTCATCTTCCCGTCGATCGAGAAACCCTGTCAAAGCAGAAGAACCCCAAGGTTCACGAGTAGGAGCAAGAAAAACCTCACCAGCAATCGCTGCAACCTTGGCGATTCGTGATTCAGCCCGTCCAGCAAATTCTTCCCCCGATTGGCCAAACCCGATGTCGTCGCTCCGTCGTCTAGTCTCAGAACTCGTCTTGTTCTTCTGCAGAAGCTTGTCGAGGTTGGCCAGATGCCTCTTGTTGCAATTGACGGTGGCGAGCTTCTTCTCTGAGATGCAATAATCCACAAAACAACAACAAGAGCTCCAAATGCGAACCGCAGATCCGCAGCGTTGCATCTAGGGTTTCTTCTTCAGGCAATACGGCGAGGCTTTTTGAAAGAATATTGAGAGAGATGTAGAATTGGATAAGTTGGTCATTGGTTGAGTAATCGGCGGGTTTGTGTTGGTGAGGATTGAGAAAGAAATGAGGAAAGGAAGTTGGAGGCTGGTCTTTGTTGGCGACGGCGGAGAGGAGGGGGAATGGTAGAACTACATTGGTGAGGAAGAAAGGAGGAAAGAGAAGGGTTTGGTTAGAATGTTCGGATCAGTTAATTAATGGGTTTGGTTTGAAAAGTTAAGCCCATTAATGGGTTGACAGGGACAGGAAGTATGTATGAAAGTAGTCTCAAATTAAATTACTTTCGCTATCCAAAATTCACAAATCTTGTGTACCAGTGTGAATGGGAACAAGAGAGAACTTGATATTCTATTCACACTCACAGAGAGATAGTACAAAAGGCGGTGGAGCGTGAGAGAGAGAAGTGATTAGGTTTTGGTTGGGTTCTTTGAATTATTTGAGCTAGCTAGCTATACTATATATGCATAGCTCCTTTGGCTTGTTTGAGTTGTTTTGTCTGTTTCGCCGAGTTGATGAGTTGGGTTCTTTTGCGCCTGACCAACTGATGATGATCAATTGATCATGTCGAATCGATCAGATTTGATTGAACAGCTAGCAAGCCACAGCAGCACAAACAAATACAGCCAATATTAAAGCACCGCTCCTACTCTAGTCTACTCTACTTCCTGCGCTTTAATTATACAGTTAGATTTTTGTTATAATTACATGCCTCCGATCCGATGGTTCATCTGACTATATATATGGATCTCCCAAATTGAGTACAGTTTCATGAGCTGAGCTGAGCTGACACCAAAGAAATTGGGCTAGCCTAGCTAGCTAACTACTTGGCTGTTGCGGGGTACTGACCTTAATTCCACCGGCGGAGACGGTGATCCGAGCGGCCTGCTATATATCGGCAGCGGGTGAAAAGGTGGATCCGAGAAAGCATGGGAAGCGGCCACTTCCACCGGCGGCGGCGGCGGCGGAAGAAGACGATGAAAATACGGGAGGAGGAGACGGTGATCCTTATCACTTATTTGGTGGCCACATGTCCTCATCGTCTTCTACCTACTGCGGGTGGTCGGAAGAGGACACGTCAGCCATGGTCTCCGCTCTCTCTCAAGTCATCGCCGCCACCGACGACTCAGCTGCTGCGACACAACCCCGATCATCATCGTACAGCTACAACTCTCCTCAGTTTGACCGGACTTCCAACACCGCACCTATCGTAGCAGTACGGACCCATCACCACCACCAGCAGCAGCAGCAGCAGCAGAATCAAGCCCAACCAGATCCTGCAGGTACGTCATGCAATGCAAGCTACCCACTTCATCTCTACATATATAGTATAATACCTACTCTTCTGGTTTCGAGTTACATCCCCCTGTATTGTATATATTAGATTCATGTTTCCTCAGTTTCTACACATGCATCATCTCACCTAGAGGAATTCCTAGCTCTTTAATGAATGAATAAACCTTATAGTAAGTAGTGTTATTATTAATAATTAGTTTCCTCTGGATCGGTTCACTTTCTCTTAGGTTTGAGGAAGGATATGTATGAAGTTAACATATTTTATATGTTCGATAATAATTTGTTTGGGATAAGTACTGTAGGCTATATACATGACGGATGTTGGGTGTAAGTTCATTGAATCATATTTGTCCTGTCCCAGTCCATGTCCTATATATCGTGATTCAAACCTAACTCTCTCTCTCTCTCTCTCTTTGTCTCTCATCATCATCACCATTTAACCCGATGACCATTTTTTTGTCATTTGCTCATAATATTTTAGTTAGTTGTCACATTTTGTATATACAGTAAAGCTCTTTCGTTCGACGGAATGATGACCTCTAAGGATCACACAGGATAGACACGATGAATGAGCTAAGCCTATTCAGGTTTACTGTCTCGATGAGATTAATTAACATTAAGTAATATTTAATTTAATCCCGTCATTAATTGGCTTCGTTCCGTGAATGACTTGCATTCTTTCCACGTTCCGTTCCTGGATTTGAGTCTGTGTACCCATGCATTGACATTTTCTTTCTCCTTCTTTTGTCGGGTTTCTTTTACTTTCTGTCTGCTGTTTGCTGGTTGGTTTGGCTTCCTGTTCAAACTCTGCCTAATCAATCCTAATTACGAAATGTTGACCTGACCTCCTTAAGCGGATTAATAATATATTATTATATTTACGTAGCTATCACGTTGATGAACACAGGAAATACGAGGAAAAGGCACTACAGAGGGGTGAGACAAAGGCCATGGGGGAAATGGGCGGCCGAAATACGGGACCCGAAGAAGGCGGCCAGGGTCTGGCTGGGTACGTTCGACACTGCCGAGGATGCAGCTGCTGCATATGACAAGGCGGCTCTCAAGTTCAAAGGCACCAAGGCTAAGCTCAACTTCCCAGAACGAGTTCAAGGCCAATCCTTCTCCACCTACGGTTCCAGCACCAGCGTTGTCTCATCTGCACCTCCTCGTCCACCTGCTGCAGCACTCCCGCCGCCCCCGCCGCCTTCCACTCAGGTACCGCCACACGGCGGCTACCCTCACCTGCTTCAGTACGCCAACATCCTTTCAAGCGACCGTGAATCCGATTTTCAGTACCACGCTTCAAACCTCTTCATGAGTCAACAGCAGGATCCGTTTGCTCATCCTCCCCACTCGTCTTCCACGTTTTATCATGTCCACGATTATGCGAATCAGCAGCAGCATGGTCATGATTATAATATGACGAGATATCACTCGCCTTCACATCGTGATTATCATCACCAGCAAGGTCATGATGGACATGGGAATGATTCCACCACGTCCGACCAATAGCTCAGTACGCATGCATATATATGTGCAAGTGTAGCATGCAGTAGCTCCTTGTTAGTGATGGAGGATTTTGAATTTTGATTCCTCTGTTTTCCCGTATGTTTATTTTGGCGGCTGCTTAATTATTAATTATGAAAATGCTCGCAAATGTATGCCATTTGGTGAATTAATTTGCGGGAGGTCCGAGACATAAGAGGCCCGAGGGAGAAACGAGTGCATGCATGGGACTGGGAGAGTAGTAGCAACATACCCACATGCCGGAATTTTCTGTATTGTTACTCTGCGAATAGGAAAATAGAAAAAATGACAAAGTAAAAAAAAATAATTAAGGAAAGAATATACACGACAACGAATTTACGTGGTCCACTAATATAATATGTGTTAGCTAGCTCATAAGTAGGAGAGAGTGAATTTTACTATACTTTGAAGAAATACATATTACATATATAGGACTATGAGAAGTATTATATATAGTAACGCTAGTTTAATATGGTAAAGAAATATGATTAAAGAATTTGCAACATCAAGATTCCATGACATCCAGTTATAACCAGATAGTCCGATTCAAATTACACCAACAATTGCGTTACATTTTGCTGCCATGAACTCTCTCTGTATTCTATATACATATATCGTTTGTCTATATGATGATGGGACTTCCGAGTTCCTACTGTTTATTTCCCTCCTTTTTCAGGTTTTCTCCCTTTTTTCCTGCTGTATATTGATCGTCGACAGAGATCTTCTATATAAGGCGTTTGCGCATGCAGCTGGGGCCTCACCCACTTGCTTTCTTCGGTGGGGCTCTTTAATAAAGAAAGCCAAGCTTCCCCAGAAAGGCCAAAACCAAAACTTGTGTCATGTCTCATATGTGCAGGAAATGAACTAAAGGCTAAAGCATGATGCATCATGTTTCTAACCAATACGACAAAAAAAAAAAAAAAAAAAACGAAGTGTAAGAAGCTATAGGCTTAGCTACCTTTCTCTCGATCTCCTGTTTTTTCCTTCTTTCGTTTGGGTTCTCGTATTTCTTCTTCGCGGTTCTCTTAATTTATTCCCTTTTTCCGTAATATGTCGTCCTTGACACGAATATATAGAGGAAATCATGATTCAGTGCCAAACGCATGATAAAAGGTCAGTAAAGCGTATGAAATCGGGGGATGGGAGATGTTGAGGAACGGTGGTTATTTGCATGCTTTAGGCTTTCCGACGTCAAACTTTGCGGCTCTCACTCGATTGCTCTCTTTTGAAAATGGCCCCATTGTGAGATATGCACGGCCAGAGAGTCGCAATGGAGTTTGGTTAAGGTGCTAGATGGGGCGGGTTTAATTTGTTAGGTAGGGCTATAAAATGGATGTGGACCATATAATTATCCGTTAATACCATAGTTCAAAAAGATACGTTTAACCTTACATTTAGACATGTTTAAGTGCAAGGCAATGACGAAATGCCTTGACTAAGGATTTCACACCTAGTTAGTTATCAGAACACGTCAATGGAGTAAGGCGACATATTAGCCTCTTCTAAACATAACTAGATGGAGCTAGGAATTCGATATTAAATGAGAAAATTAATGTCAACTACAAATTCAATTTTCTATATCTATATTTTCAATCGCTCAAGAACTTTGTGAGTTATTGAGCTATGATTCTATGAATTCAAGAGCTATGTTCTTGTCATTAAGTATTGAGTAAGTTATTAATAATTTTAACTGAACTGAGGAAATATTGTATGTTATTATTTCATTCACCATTCATAGTGATTAGATATTTTTCTTCCAACGCCTAGGCACGCTTAGTCTAGGCATAGGCGAGCTAGGCGCTAGGTAAAGGCTCAACGCCCGCCTTACGCCTAGCGCCTTTTTGAACCTTTGGTAAGATTGATGTACTCTTGTGGTATAGTATATCTCAGGTACTTTTAGTGAGATAATTCTATTTAGACCATAAATTAAATCGAGTTTAGGATATAATATTATACTCTAACCTCTAATGGATCAATGTTGTTAAAATCACGTTTTAAAACTTAAAAACTTAAGATTTTACGTTTCTAGATCACTAAAACGCTTCTATACAAAATCTCAGTTTTTATAACTTATGTAGTTAAAAACTCCGCTTTAAAACTTAAAACCTTAAGATTTTACGCTTCTAGATCACCAAAACGTTTCTACGTAGAAACTCGCTTTTGACTACATTGAAATGGATAAATCCCATGTCCCAGTTATGAATTATCTAAACTCAAACCCGAAGTTCAATTTAATAGAAAATAATAATTGAACGTTCAGATTGGTCAGAGCTCATCAAAGTACAACTCACGGTCATATCACCTTAAGTATATTATACTCCTGGACTATACCAGTCGATCATTACCATAAAAAAATTTTACATGCAGTCATTAACATAATTATAGGGGTGTTTACACTTCGGTAACACAATCCGTGAGTTTGGGCTCAATGCTCCCGCGTTAGAGCATCAAAACACGTATTAGAGGGAGAGTTTACAAAATTCACGAATTTCTTTTGTTGGGAGCGTGAATTTTCTACGGCAGAGCGCGATTCGGCAGGCAATTGCCTCTTCTTTATGTGGCCTTCATCAACTTACCTGTGTATCTCTCTCACTGTTGTTGCTAGTTTCATTTGCCCCTCCGCCTCCCTGAAGAAGACTGGCACTTCAGAACTCAGTCCTCCATCCGTCGCCTTCAATCCAGTCATAGGCGGAGGCAGGGGTGTTTGCCCCTATCCCGAGACAGGGGTAACTTTTGAGGAGGGAAAAAAATAGCCCCACATATATTTATACAGATCGAATTAAACACTTACAAGTAACATAAGGATATTTTAACATTACAACATAACTCATTACTTGTTCATTAATTCACAAAAATAATTAAATTATTGGTTTCATTCATGACACTATCATTTTACAATAGCTCGTTAGGTATTATCATGATATTATGGTGTAAACAATGAATGTATTTTACATTTATTTCATAATATGAAAACTCGTCCTGGTTATTTATGAAACAGTAATTGTATTAATCAGTTTTTTGTTTCTTTGTGGATGAATTATTTAGATATTATTAATTTTAATTATATTTATAAAATATTATATATATTCTGAAAAAAGGACAGGGGTAGTTTGAAATCCTGCCTCCGCCACTGAATTCAGTCGTGAGCTACATGCAACATTCCAGATATAGCAACAGGGATAACCTCCGCCTCCTTCAATCTATCTTGCTCGCCTTGTTCCCCATCGAAGCAGAACATCTGCTCCCAACCGCCCACCATTGTTTTTATCTTCATCTTAGCCCCCATCGCAAACTCCTCCATCTCTGCTCTTCCACTGTCCCACACCCTGCAAAATCCACCTTTACTCTCATCACTCCAGCCTGCCGTTATTAGCCACCATATGGATCAATTGGGTCTCGCTAGCTCCAAATTCTGAGTTCTCCCTTTCCTTTTCTCCCGATTTTCAGTTTTTATATTTGAGAGAGAGTGAACAAGGAGAGGGACGAGGGTTCTATGAATTGGGGAAAGATCAAAAGATAATAAAAATATAAAATATGTTTTTTTTTGTTCAAGGAGTGAACAGCCACACTGAGAAGGATAATAAAATATACTTTCTTTGTAATTCAGTTTACGTTTTAAAAAAAAAAGTGTTCTTTTTTTTTTGACAAAAGATAATCTTGTATTGGATCAACAAAAAAGATAGACAGTTACACCCTGGATATCAGCAAGGCCTGAAAGTCAAAGAATCGACTCATAGCCGGGTACAGAGAGAGGGTCTTTCTAGCCACCATGTGAGCTACTCTATTGCTACTCCGACTATAAATCGAACACTTCCTCTAGCACAACACCCACCCTATTGTCTCTTATATCAGCCCGCCTTATTTTCTCGATGATCACCTTGGCATCCCCTTCAAACCTCACGCTCGTTAAGCCTTGACCCAGACACCAAAGAATCGCCTCTCGGAGGACAAGTAATTCCACTACGAGAGGGTCATCAATGACCGAGAATTGGATCCCCACAGCCCAAAGGACATCCCGATTCTGGGACATAAGCACCACTCCTCCCGCCTAGTGCGATCCCCTCCGAGTAGCCCCATCCCATCCAATGATGACCACAGACGAATCCTCCCGGATAGACTGGTGAGCTGCGGGGGCATGGGCCTGAAGAGGTATATCAACCGGGAGCCTCACCCATTCCTCATATTGCTGCGTAAAATGGCGCATCAAAGTAGTGATCCCATACTGTTTGCCTTCAAAAACCACCCAGTTACTAGATCGCCATATGCGCCAGAGGATGGCCACTATTGCCAGAAACAGTGCAGGCTGATCAAGTAAAGCCATCAATTTTTTGAGAAAGAGCGGAAAAGTGTGACGGGGTAAACTCTCCCCTATATGTTCCAGCCCTGCCGCCCCCCGAAGGGCTCGTGCCACCGGGCAATCCAGGAATAGATGTTCCATTGTTTCGGAACTATCCCAACAGACCGGACATCGGGGATGAACCAGGACCTTTCTATGGATTAGGGCTTCCGCCGTGGGGAGGATCCGGTTGAACACCCGCCAAAAAAATAGTACTTTTAATTTCGGCAGAATGTTGGCATTCCAAAGTCGAATCCAACTGGCCCTATCCATTCAACCAACCGTCGCTTTCCATCTTCCTCTTCTCCGATCAAGGGAGACAACCAAATTTAACCGAGAATTCACCAACAGTCGTATCATGCCAAATGAGTCTGTCCTCCACATTCTCCCTCGGGAGTGGAATGGCTTTTATACTACGACAAGTAGCTGGGTCAAACCATTGGCAAAGCTTCATGTCACACCAGCGTCCCTCCCCCGGACAAATCAGCTCAGAGACTGGAGGGTCACCCCTAGCCTAGAGAACCTTAGGATTATATCGTAGGGGCTCAAACTAATTTTGAGGAACCCAAGTAGAGTGAAGCATGGAAGCTGAGCGACCATTTCCAATTTGCCAACACAAGCCCATCTCTAACAGACGCCGTCCAAACAGGATACTTTGTTAACCCCATGAAGGACGAGAACGAGCCTGAGCATTAAGGAAGTGCCCATTCGGGAAATACTTTCCTTTATAAACTTGGGCCAGAAGTGACTGGGGTTCACAGAGGATGCGCCATCCAATCTTAGCTAAGAGAGCCTGATTAAAATGCTCAAACCAGCGAAATCCCATCCCCCCATCATGCTTACTTCTACACAGATCACGCCAGGACATCCACCTCACCTTTGAATTGTTCTCATATAATCCCCACCAAAAACGTGCGATATGCTTATCCAGAAGGCGGGACAGAGACAGTGGCAGCTTGAAACAGGACATCACATGTAGTGGTAATGCCAAGGCTATTGATTTTATCAGTGTTTTCTTCGCTGCCCAAGAGAGTGTTCTCTGTTTCCATCCTTGGAGCCACTCCAATAACTTTTCTTCCTATTACCGGAATGTCTCCATCTTAGATCGAGCAATCATGATCGGGAGACCCAGATATTTATTATGGACCCCCACTGTCCCAACCCACATAATTGCAGCTAAGAATTCCTGATCTGGCAGATCAATATTCTTACTAAAGCATACCGCTGATTTTGCCAAATTAACTCGTTGCCCGCTCAGTTCCTCATAATCATTCAAAACGTCCATTAAATTTTCACATTCTTGGAGCGTGCCACGTAGGAATAAATACGAGTCATCGGCAAAGAATAGGTGCGTGATTTGTGGAGCCCGAGGGGCGACTTTAATCCCCGCCAGCTTCTTCTCTGATATTGCCTTTTGAAGGAGGGCCGCAAATCCTTTGGTACATAGGACAAACAACAGAGGAGAGAGGGGATCCCCCTGACGGAGTCCCCTGGAGGAAGTAAAATAGCCTGACGGCGTACCATTCATCATGACTGAAAACGACGTAGATCTGAGGCATTCCTGTATCCACCCTATCCAGACTGAGTTAAAACCCAATTTGTCCAAAACCGTAAGGAGAAAAGGCCACTCGACTCTATCATAGGCCTTTTCCATGTCAACCTATAGAGCGATGTACCCTTTCTTCCCACGTGGTTTGATTTTTAAGTAGTGAATAAGCTCGTGTCTTAGGAGGATATTCTCCACAATTTGTCTCTCCCGAATAAACGCATTTTGGCCTTCAGAAACAATGCTCGGTAAGACGCAAGACAACCTTTCAGCCAAAAATAATAAAATAAAAAGTGTTCCTTTTATTTTTACCCAAGGAAGGAAATATTATTATAGAAAAGTAAATATATTTCTTATATTATTTTGTAATATATAAAGTTAAAACACTTTTACTGTTTCCTAAGATTGGGCTCATTTTTAGCTCAAACCTCTTTCGTATTGGCTTAAGCCTACAGCTAGTTTAGGTTTAAGTTTGTGGATTTAGCCTTTCTAATTGGTAGACCTAAAGCATGTTGCACAACCTATCCTCAGATCTCTCCAAAGAAAAGCTATTTTAGGTTTCACCTTGTTTTTTTTTTTTTTTTTTTACAATAACCTGTCTTAATTCCTTGATTGTAGAATATGAAGATAAAGAGAAAGGGAATAGAATACAAAATCTACAAGGAAGGAGAGATTAAACAAATTCCGTACTTAATTGGACTAACCCACTACTAAAATCAACTCTGCGAAAAGGATGGAGAAATCATACATACAAGGCAAAATTAGAATATTGAAATGTTGTTCACTCGGGAGCAAGGTTTTCAACCCGCGGGTTGGCCCGTCGATATATCCGTTTTGACTCTGACCAGATGAGAAAACTAGGCCACACGTCTACCGGTCGACCTGCTGCAAAGTTATTGGGTCGGAGGTCACATGTCGTCGTTTTTCTCTTAAATACTCCTCTCTTTTTTTCCCACTTCGCCTAACATATTTTTGCCAAGTACGTGACCTGTTATTTTGATAGGATGTTATATGCTATTTCTCATATGTAGAATGAGATTTAATATATTTATAAATATATGGATTATATAATAATTTTTCATATATCTGGACTAAAGCGGTCAGACTACTAACCCTCAAACTAATTACTCAACCGGGTCAACGGATTAAACTAGGTTGACAACTTTTGCTCGGGAGACTAAAAAAAAGAAGGTGATGTCCAGCAAACTATTATTGAATTTGGTAAATGGATGGAACAAAAGATGAATTAAGATAAAGGAAGAGGAAAGCCAATGGTGAGTCGGTCATGGTCATTGATTTTAAGAGGAATGCAAAAGTAGGGATGGCAATGGGTCGGATCGGGGATAGTGCATATCCGTTACCCTAACCAAACTAATTCGGGTTTTACCCATACCCATACCCACATAAGAAACGGGTAGAAAATCAAAACCATGTCTTTACCCGTTCGGGTTTTGGGTATCCACGGGTATCAATGGGTAATAATTTCTCTTTATAACTTCAACCAATATGTTAACATTCACATGTATTATCACTTTTACATAAGAGAAAAAGTACGATAATGATTCACTAGAATGAAGAAAATTAATTAAAACAACACAATTTCATGAAAATAATATATTTATATGCTTGATACAAAATATGTTAGAGAAAAATAATGATTATTTGTAGAAAAAATACATATGCATGTGTATAATCGGCGGGTTCGGGTTGGATAGTGAGAAAACCATGCCCACCCATTACCCGTAATATTCGGGTTTTACCCGTACCCACTAAAAGTCCTTCGGCTTCGGATTTTATCCTACCCGACTAGGTCGGATTCAAGCGGATATCCACGGTTATGAATATTTTTGCCATCCCTATGCAAAAGAAAAACAAAGAAGAAGAATTTAATGCGGAAAGGAAAAGTATTTGATTTTGAGAGAAAAATAAAACTTATCTCCATTTCATTGAGTTCCTTGTTGGTTAGGATTTGTGAGGATGCATTAGCCAATATATATGTATTGTTGAGAATAAGTTGTTTTTCTTTTGTTTTTTAGCCACAATGCAGGTGTTGATTTTTTATGTGACACACTACATAAAATATGAATACATAAATTGATTAAATGTATCCGATCCTCCAAAATATAACTATATCTATCGAGAAGAGCATCTCATCCACAAAAACTAATCTGAATTTTCTAATCAGCCATGCTTATTTCACATTCCAATTTAAGTTTGTAACCTTTTTAGAATAAACAGAGAAAACCTTTTAATTTATTCGGTTATCTGGCTACCCCAACGATCCAACCAACAACAGGCTTATTTGATTCCCTTTTAGTTTGGATCCCAGAATCACTCTTGGGCAGAAAAATCCTAGGTGAATGCCCTCAACAAAGTGTTAGTTCAAAATTAAACCTGTTAATTTATCTTTTAATTTCTTTACACTTCATGCGTTTATAGGTAATTGGCCGCCGCGAAGCTCGGCTTCAATTTCTAGTATTAATATACTAATCAACATTTTTATGAATGTTATTGTTACGTATGTGAAAAACAATACATTTTACATTCCAAACTATTATTATTTTAAATTAGATGAATTATACATTTTACACTCCAAACTAATATGATGCTTTCGCCGCGCTCTCAATATTGAGTTCTTGAAAAATAAGCGATCTCACGCTCCCGTTTCCGCTCCCGCTCCGTAAATTGGTAACCTAAGTTTACACCGAAAATTATTTTGGCCTTAAATACCAAATTATTGCGTCGTCGCGAGATTAACGACGTCACGAGCTCGACAATGTCGTGGTACCTAGTGATGCCGCAAGTTTAGCCTCCCAAACAGATGAGCATATTATGTAAAGAAGAGGAAGACGCCATCGGTCGTATTTTTGTCAACTGTAAGGTGTCGGCGGATGTATGGAGTATCTTGAGATTCTTTGTCAGAACTGAGGACAAAATCAATAGGATTGGAAGCATTTCGAACACACTCAATAGGATTGGAAGCATTTCGAACATACTCAAAAATTATCATACTTTACCACTCTGGTATGTGGGTGGTAACTTGTGGTAAGCAATGATGAAAGTCGTAAATGACAGTTAGTATACTCCTACTATCATGTATTCAACCTTCCTACAGTATTGGTATGTTCATACCATCATGATACGCTTTCTTACCATATGGTATTAAATAAGAGCATACCATATGGTATTGACTGGTAAAAAATGACTCACTTTTTTTTCTAAAAATATATCAAAGTGAATATCATTTTAAAGAGTAATCTGATTTATCTGCGCAAAAAAATTGAATTTCGACTTAAAATGAGTGAGAAATCGTCCGTTAAAGATTAAAGGAGAAAAGATAAAAGACTTTCCATGAGAGAGAGAGAGAGAGAGAGAGAGAGATATGTTGATGTGGACGGGTTACTCATGGTTACTCAATATTTACTTACCTAATCCGCTCCCATAATTTTGTGCGGTTTTGTTTTCCATGTTTGGCAGGTACTCTTGGTCGGGAGCGGATCAGGTCAACAAATTATAAATTTTAAATTAAGGCAATCTCCTCTTGCTGTTTCTTCCTATTTTTCGACGAAAGCATTTGTTCGGTGAGGTTTTTGGTTTCTGGATAGAGTTCGAGATTTCCACCACAAACAATTACGATCTTCTTCTCTCCTCTCCTCTTCAAGCTCATGTTTTACCAAACACTAACTCTGAATTGATTAAGTTCCTGTCGAACTTCCTCCAATGTCGAACTTCTTCAGTCACCTCGCTCAAGTAATCTATGCATGTTGATTTTCTCGATTTTTTCGGGTGAGAAAGAGGGAGAAACACAGAGATGGAGTTTTTTCCTTTCTAATCTCGAGTAAAACCTTGGATGAGGTTTTAGGAGAGAGTTTCGGGTTGAAATTCTAGGAAGGCAGGAAGGAAGCTCTTCCCCAAATAGACGCCACCGTACCCCTTCCTCCGACATTCTCCTCATTCTAGATCTGCGACTAACTTTACACTCTTATTAAATCAATGGTCACTCACCGTCTATCTGCGACTAACTTTACACTCGTATCTGACCTTCGACGTTAACTCTCTGATGTAGAATTAAAAATAATAAAAATATAATTATCTATTTATAATTATACACCTCATTCCACCACCACAACCGACTAAATATGGTAAAGGGTTTGTTTGCGCGAGCCAATTCTCCCGGCAGATAGTTATCCCCATGAGATATTCGCATTTGGCATGGTGGTTTGGTTGGTGAGGAGGTGTCATTAGAGGTGTTGGAGAAGTTTCAGATTTGTGATTCTGTGTTCGTTGACATGTAGGCGGCAGGCCCTGGTCAGTGATTGCGACGAGGTGGATGGAAACGATGAAGCTTATGAAGCTGCAGGAGACGAGGTTCTTTTACTATCATCGTGGATTAGGGCTCTGAAGGTTTTATCAGAAGCCCCTTTGTGGACGTGGAGGAGGGGAGGAAGTTCTGGTCGGGAGCGAATCCCATGCATAACCTACTAATCAATAATCATCAGTAACCCAACTAGAATCCGCCACATCAGCACCCCTCTCTCTTCTGGAAAGCCAATAATATTTTCTCGTTTAATTTTTAACGGACGATTTCTCTCTCGTTTGAAGTCGGAATTTCAATTTTTTGCACAGATAAATCAGATTAATTGTGCTCTTCAAAATGTATTCACTTTGATATACTTTTTAAACAAAAAAAGATTGAGACATTTTTTACCAGTCTATACCATGAAGGTATTGATTTGTATTAAAATAGAAACATACCAACATTGTAGGATAGTTAAATACATTAGAGTAAGAGTATACTAACTGTCATTTACGACTTTCAAAATTATGCACCATAAGATACCACCCCCATACTCGGGTGGTATTGTATGGTATTATTTGGTCTTGTATTTTGTTCACCCAGAAAATTTGTAGATCCAATAGATCATGATGAACTCGTTCATTCTGTGTAGAAATTTTCAAAAATGACTTAAAAATGAAGGACATACCATATGGTATGGGGTTGGTAACGAGAGACATGAAATTTTTTTCCACAAAATATTCAAATGGATATCATTTTGTAGACCATAACGAAATCGTTCTATCTGTGCAAAAAAAAAAAAAAATTTGAATTCCGAGTTGTAACGAAGAAGATACGAGCAAATTAAGAAAGATAAGGAGAATAAAATGTCTTTAATTCCTCACGTATAGATCTGAATTTTCTGGACCCACTAAAAAAGGAAGGTTCAGATTTGGTTATGCAAAAATGCATAACCAAGGGTTATGACCCTAACTTGAGTTGTCCCCGTCCGCTCACTATTTTCCAAGCCAGTGCATTGATTTTATTATTTTAATTATTAGTTATAAATTATGAATTATATTCAAATAGTTTCTCGATGGACGGAGATGGTGGTGGGGAAGAAATTAAGGTGAGTGGTAGGACTGAGATAGTAGACCAGACTGTTTGAAAAATCATGGTCCAAACCGAAACGCACAGTTTGGTCCCCGTAGACCGTTAAGTATGGTCTGGTCTGGTTCAGGTTTTTTAAAATGATGTAATATGATGTTTTGATTTCTTGTTCTGGTCGGGTCTAGACCGCGGTTTATCGGATCAAACCATGGAACCAACAGATTTCTCAATATGTGTTAGCAACCCACTCGACCACTCTCCCAACTCCCAGAACGATACCCAAATCTCATTCTAAATTTTGAAAATCTTGCTTCGTCCTTCATTCACAACCACATTTCACTAGAGAGTAGAGACGATCATGTCTCCATATGACATTATGTAAATGTTTATGACGTTATGGTGCAAGTAGGGGTGTTTTGACTTTGTATCTTTATTATTTACTGAGATTTATGCTGTCAAAATCATCCATGCATGTAGGAGCTTATGTTTTTAAGGAAATAAAACATTTATTTTCTTGGATATTGGTTCAATTTTTTTGTGTGGTTTACTAATTAACATGTTTATTTTTCGTTCACTGCGATCTATATGGACCAAACCGTACCAGATCAGACCGCACAGGCATGGTCTGGTCTGGACCGTATAGTCTACGGTCTATACTTTAACCTCTCGGTCTAAATAGTAGACCGCATATAAGGTACGGTTTGGATCAGACCGCACCGTTTTCCAGCCCTAATGGGTGGTGGTGGGAATATATATGAGGTGTAATAACGAAAATAACTTTATTATATTTTAATTGATACATCAGACACTTAGCATTTAAATATTATAGTTGACTGTCAATTAGATGGTAAAGTTAATAACCATTAATTCAATTAAAATTACGAATGACAAAGGTTATACAAATTAGTGATATTTTGGATTGATGGTTCAGAAAACTTGTTATTTGGGGCTATCAAACAAATACTACATAAGAAAATACTTGTTATTGGTATGTGATATTTGGCCCAAAATAACATGTTTCTGTTATTTGGCAAATATTTGACCCGCACTAAGTATTTGACAAACAACACACAAGTGTTATTTGGCAAACACTACATCCAATTAACTCACCTTCTTTTTCTCCAACCAAACATATTATTTGGGCCAAATAACAAACAATCAATCCGAACGACCCCTTACTAATTTTAGTGACCAAACTTACAATTCGGAGTGCTCTCTCAACTCTCATTTTCTGAGAGAAAAAAGGGTAAATTGCAAGGTTGGTCACTAGAAGTGCTAAAATATTCACGTTTAGTCACTTAAAATTTTTTATTATATTCGTGGTCATTGAAAGTAGTTAACGTTTTACGATTGGTCACTCTCCGTTAGTTTCTACTAACACCGTTAGTGGTTTGTTGACGTGGCAACCAAAAATGTTGATTCATCCAATTTTAACCTGCCACGTCATAAAAATCGACCTGCCACATCATGACTCAACCCAATCAACCCGTGACCCGAGCAAAGAAATTGAAGGAACCCAATTCTTTAATTCCTCTACACATCCCTCGATCTCCCCCATCTCTCTCAGCCTTTCCTCTTCTTCCTCTGTTTGATACGCGTCTCCTCCTCGCTGTCGTCTGCTACCCTCCGTCACCCAAGCATCCTTCTCCGCAACTCTTCCTCGACGTCACCCGACCTCCCTCCGGCGCTGCTCATCATCTTCTCAAGATGGGACCCCGAGGCCAGGGGATATTGCCATCAGTCTCTCCTATAAGTGTTGTTGCTATCGTCTCCGTCTCCCCAACCATTGATAACTTCACATCCACACTCCAGTCCCGCACCACGCTGACGCTGATTGGACCTTCAAGAATATCCCACAGCCTTCTCTGGTCGAGCTGGATCTAGGAGAATCGCCTCTTTGCCCCCTCGATTTCAGACTCGACGAGCAAAACTAACTCCAGGGACAGTCGGGGCCCAAATCCAAGGGAGGTTGCTAGCCTCTGTCTTCGGCGGCGATAAATCTGGGCGGCGGATTCCATCTTCGATCTGTTCGTTGACAATCTGTGTTCCCGAATAGAAGCAGCAGTGCCTTCACGTTTGAGAATGCATAAGTTTTGGCGTTCCACCATGTTTTGGGTTTGGGAGTACTTGGGTTTACGGGAGGAGGCAAGGGGAGATCGGGTTCGAGGAAGAGATGGTCACCATGGCATCGACAATCAAAAGTAGATGCTCCCCTCGACTGGGATTTGGAATTGGAAGATTGAAGCTCCTTCTTCCCTGTCGTTTTCGGCCAATGGAGTTTTAGGTCGGGCGGGTCAATAAGGAGGGTTGGGTCATGGGTTGGGAAATGTGATGTGGTGGCTAAAATTGACGTGGCATGTCCGGTTTTATGAGGTGCCAGGTCAAATTTGGATGAATAAGCATTTTTGGTTGCCACGGCAGCAAACCACTAACGGTGGTAATGGAAACTAACGGAGAGTGACCAATCGTGAAACGTTAACTACTTTCAATGACCACGAATGGAATAAAATTCTTTTAGTGACCAAGCGTGAATATTTTAGCACTTTCAGTGACCAACCTTGCAATTTACCCCGAGAAAAAAATATTCTCGTTTTCTATTGGGCTTGGACTTGGGTTAATTTGCTAGTATGGATAGTGGCCCAGGATTAATGGAACCCAAAGCTGAGGCAGTTATCTTCCCGCGTAGTCTTCTTGTGTCTCCCTATTTCTTTTTAACTTCTTTTTTTTTTTTTTTTTTCTTTCGGAAGACATATCTCGAATTCTCTACTGGACCTCATTGTAATAACCAGTAATTGAGTAGGCTTCTCACCGGGATGGTAATGGCGGCGATTGCGGCTTCTACTCTTGGAGTCCCTCTTCGGACTCCATTTTCTTCTTCTTCTTCTTCGGTACGCGCTCCTTCTTTTGCTTTCTAGACATTTGAAATTATTCTTTCTTCCTGAATGTTTTCTTATCCGTTTACTTCGTTAAAAGACATGGCGCAGATCAATTGTGTCTCAATCTCTTAACGGCTCTCCCGATTCTACACCAAGAGGTCAGCGAATTGCCGAATTGTACTTTGCTTGATTGATTTCATTGCTGGTCAAGTGTTTGATGAAATGAGAGTTGTATTTCTGGTGGTGCAGTTGGCACAACAACAGTGGATCGTGTGGGGAGAAGAGCAGCTTTTATGCTTTCACTTGGGTTGCTCGCTCAATCCAAGTGGAGTGGAGTAGCGACCGCTTCTGAGTTTGCAGACAGTAATCCCCTTCCTTACTCTCTTTCAGTAGTATACACGCAAATGTCAGTTGCTTCCATAGCTTCTTTTTTTATTTTATAGAATTGAGAATGATTTGTGTGACAGCACTTGCATTAGACTTGCTTCTTCCTTTGATCTCTGTTGGCTGCCTCATTCACATATTCTCAATCCAGTGCCCGCACTCAGGGGAAAGGATTATGGCAAGACCAAAATGAAGTATCCAGACTACATTGAAACCAATTCTGGACTCCAGTATAAGGTCAAGGATCGAATCCCTTATGTTTCTCGATGTCAATTCAAGTTCATGTTTTTATCATTTTCCACCAATCTTTGTGTTGATTCAACTACCAAAAACAATGCAGGACCTCCGCGTTGGCAGTGGCTCAACTCCTAAGATCGGAGAGACAGTTGTGGTGAGACCTCCTTGATGAAATTTGGTCCCGTAGTGCTCAACCGTCTACATGAAATACTTATACAATAGGCTTTGGTAATTTGTATGCTTCAGGGTCACATGAAATGCTGTTAGAGAAGTTGTAGGTGTTAGAAGGCTCCTAAAAATCTTTCATGTTTCGAGATTGTCCATTTTAAAACCTGTGCTCCATCCATGCCTTTACTCGATTGAGCGCTTTGTATTATATGCTGAAGGTTCAAAGTTCTATGTCTGTGGGCTGTATTTTTCAGATTGATTGGGACGGCTATACGATAGGATATTATGGGCGCATATTTGAAGCTCGAAACAAGACTAAAGGGGGTTCATTTGAGGTATATTCTACAGTGAAATCTCTTTAATATCCCAAAGTATTTGATTCACATGGACTTTCTTTTAACTGGCTACTATATAAGCAGGGAGAGGACAAGGCCTTCTTCAAGTTTGAACTGGGATCTGGACAGGTGAGAAAACCATACCTGTCTTGTTAGCCATGCCATTGGACTGCATTGTAAAAATTGTTTCTTGGTTCTTTTATTTGTTTCCAGGTAATACCAGCTTTTGAGGAAGCCGTTTCAGGCATGGCTCTGGGTGGCATTCGAAGGTCCTACCATCTTCCTTTTTATCAAACATCTAAGCATATATTTGGTGAAATAACTCAGTGATTGAAGTGCTTAGGCTAAATTTACGCATATAGTAGTTGTGCTCACTCTCTACTCCACAGTGATGCAGGATAATTGTGCCACCAGAACTAGGGTACCCTGACTATGACTACAACAAGAGTGGTCCGAAACCAACGACCTTTTCGGTAGAGTACTCTTATCGACGAGTTCTGCTTTCACTTCTCGTACGTTAGTGTTTGAGAGAAAAGGAAGTTTATTCGTGTATTTTATAACAGGGTCAGAGAGCCTTGTCCTTTGTGCTGCAGAACCAAGGTCTGATCGACAAAACTCTGTTGTTTGACATTGAACTCATCAAAATCATCCCACCGAGGTGATTCATTGGCAGGCAGAGACCAAGGTGCTTGCTTCACTAGTCTCTTAAGGTTACTGTTTTTGTTTGTGTGTAAATTGTAATGAAAAGGAAGGGTCCTTCAAACAAAAAGAAAGCAAAATAGTGGAAGGCAAACAAACTCTTGCCTTAGCGTTCTTTTGCTTGTCTCATTGTAGACACGTTTTGGGGCGGCCTCTTTAGTGGTGGTGCAGGAGATATGCTGGAGTAACGCTCTTGTATGGAAGGGAGGAGCAGGAGCCTCCATTACGCGCGTGTTATTTCAGTGTATGAATTCGGATAGGAGCTGTGGAGATGATGTTGAGCAAACGACTGAAAAGGAAATGGTATAGAGCGAGTCGGGTTGAGGTTGTTTTTTTATCACTTATGTTGATTGTTGTCATAATTCTTTTTACGTAGTTCATCCCTAGTTCATCCCATGTTACATGAAACATCTCTAGTTCATCCATTTTGTATGCAAGCACAATGGATTTGGAGTAATCCTCGAAAGATATCAATTATGCAGCAATGTCGGATTAGTTATGAACTCAAAGAATTCTATCATTCACTCAAAATCAAATGGGATTCAGAAATCTCATGAACATCGTTCAAAGTCCAGTACAGTAAAGGTCGTCGAAATGGTATGGTATGGATTTCCGGGTCTAACAGGTGACCATGGTTAGCAAGAAAATCAGCACACTTATTGGCCTCTCTATAAACATGATAGAAAAGTACCTTCCAATTACGACTGGGGAGGTTCCTGAGACGATTGATGGTAACGATGTGATAGTGATCGGGGGCTCCTTGCTCTGGAGGAGCTAAATAACTGATAGAAACCCGGATTACGGGTTCAATCTGTTTTTAGGGATTTGGGTAAATGAGCAAATTACTAAGTTAGTAATCAGCCTTTGTTCATGGAATGGGGAAAAAGGGAAGGGAAGTTTGGAAAATGATGGTGAAGGAAGATGGAGAGGCTGCGGCAGCAGTAGTTAGAGAGAGGTTTCGGTAGGTGAGGAAGAGAGAATGAGAGATTAGGAAAAACAATTAGGGTTTAATCTTGTTTAGTAGGTAAATTTCACTTACAAGAATATTTATATAACTGGATAATTCTATAATGCTACCCCAAATTATTAATATCCCAAACATATACCATAATTAATCCCAAAGAGTCCGAAAGAACAATAAATGACAAACAATCCCAAATAATCAAATTGTAGAAATGCGGGTTTCTGTCATCCTCGCCTCCATGAGAAATCCCTTGTCCTCAAGGTTGACTCCACCTCACGGGTTCCCCTCCTTGGCGTCCGCCTCCTCCTCCTCTGCTTCGTCCTCCCAACAACCTATTATCATCATCAGATTAGTGTCTCCGCGGGGGCGTGAGATCTCTCCAGCCATTCCCACAAGTGCAAAGCATCTCCTCCAAGTAAAAGGACGCCAAATGCGCCTTCCTTTCCTCTCGAGTTGGGTGGTTCTTGAACTACCTGTCAGCTGCGTACAACCACAACCCTGCATTCCTTTGCTTATTGAATCGTGGAAACTCAATGGTTGGAGGTTTAGCTCAGAATACTAAATCATCTTCCACATCATTAAACCGACCATATCCACCATAACTGTCACCTCGTGGAAATACTGGCTCCCTGTACTGGACCCCCGTGCCTTCCTCACCACCTGGATGGCTCGCATACTATCTCCTCCGATCTTGAGTTCCTTGCCTGACCTCCGTCCTCTTATCCGGATAACGCCACTCTGCGCAAGAAGTCACGAACGGAGGTTGGGAAGCCCATGGGCCTCCAACGGCCCCACGCCAGCTCGAGTTGACCCTGTTGTCCCCTCTAGTCTACTGCTGGAATTCCCGGCTTGGTTCGACTCCAGTCCGGCCTAGGTTGGTCTAACGGTCCAATTAGTTTGGTTCAGCCTGAACCCAGCTGTCTGGTCGACTTCCCTCTGCTGACCCAGCCCCACCGGGTCCATGTTTGATTCGACACACTCACTTGACCAGTCCATCAATCTCGGTTCATCCACTTCTTGGGCTCAGTCCATGCCCAACCACCCTAACCCATTGAGCTCTGTTGATCGCCCGTCCACTTCTGCTTGAGTCATTTAGTCCAGCAACCCAAAATTCATATTCGGGCCCACGTTGTCATAGCCTAGCATTTTGGACTACCCCGTCAGGCTGCGATTTCCTGGGCCGTGGGTGTCGGTAGCATCCTGATCCCATCTCTTGACCTAGAGGGAACTTGACCCGCAGGCCCCCAAGGTCTCCTTCCCTAGGTCAACCGCCGCCATCACGCTGCCCGACGCCTCTGTTGCCGTGGTGCCCAGCTCCAGCTCCGCTGCACCATCACGAATCGCGACCGGCACATCCTTCGTCACCACCTCGAACTCGAGACCCATCGTGGCCTCAATTCTTTGCTGCCTTTCTTGTGTTACCTCGAGATATTTTTTCAGCTTGGCTATGGCCCGTAGGATTTCCTCCTTGTCTTCTTGACGCCTTCTCTCTGCGTGCGCCAGATCGGCCATCAGTTCCTTCAAAGCAGCCATGAGTTCGTCAACCCCGGTTTCATCCACCAATGTCACCATCTCCACCAACCAGGAGGCCTGCGACGATGAGCTCTTCGTCGCTACACATTTTGGAGGAATGACCGCCGCATATGGGGCCTCGTCGCCGTGGAGCCCGCGTTCGTCTTTTCCCGAGCAGCCTTCTCGGCAGCCTTTTCAGCAGTTGTCTGTGATTCGGTTACTGCCATCGATCGTCCCAGATGTTCCTGGCAAGATTCATGCCGAACTCAGCTCTTGAACCGGGCTCTGATACTAATGATAGAAACACGGATTTCGGGTTCAATATGTTTCTAGGGATTTGGTGAAATGAGCAGATCACCAAGTTAGTGATCAACCTTTGTTCGTGGGAATGGGGGAAAAGGGAAGTGAAGTTTGGAAAATTATGGTGAAGGAAGAATGAGAGGTTGCGGCAGCACCAGTAGAGAGAGAGAGGTTTCGCAAGGTGAGGAAGAGAGAATGAGAGAGTGGAAAAATAATTATGATTTAATCTTGCTTAGTGGATAAATTCTACTTACAAGTATATTTATATAACTACCACGATCGGCCACGCCTTCCTGATGCCCCTCCTAATGTTAGAAGCTCGACTCATGTGTTTAGCTATCATCTCACTTTGTACTCTTCTAAAGTACATGGCCTGGAGGATCTACACCCAAATCTCATATGATTTTTTTGACAAAGAACCAAGCTAACTTAGTCAGATATGCTAAATTAAGCTTATGAGCTTGTAAGCCCAATCCCGTAGGTCATTAGGGAATAATTGTGGCACAAGTGTAATTATCACTTAATGGTTTAAAATATAAGGTGTCCTATATTGGTTAGGTTAATGAAAGGTAAATTCCTAATATACCCTCATGGTGGGTCTATATAAAGAAGCCCTAAAATTGCTCCTCTCCCAACCCATTATGTAGAATTTCTTAGCCATCACACAAATCTCTAAACCTAAAACCTAAAGGGGTCAAGAGGGAGAAACTCAATTGCGGTGATTGCTACTCGCCGCTCTCGTCATGGATCGAGGTAGATTTCCTTGATCTATAACCGATTCGTGAAATCATCCAATTCTAAGATCCATGCTATTATGATTTATGTTTACATGTGGTGTCAGAGCCTTAGGTTTACATGAATAGATGATTTTTTATTATTTCACTTTTCCTCTACTGTGTAGCTATTCGATTACGTGCGATTAGCTTCATCCAATATTATCGAAGCTACTGTTTGTTATTGATCAAGTGCGCCGATTACCAATCTGCTTCATAAAATTTTATCGGCGTCTTTTGTTTCATGGAGTGCTTTGCCGAATTCCATATTTTATTTGCTCTGTCCTTTTATTATCACATCTTGCGTCTGTGAGTACAATTATGCTTCAACAAATTCCATTAGTTTTTTTATGTTGCTATCTATTGTTGAAGAAATTTATGAGATGGGTTGATCAAGTCCTTGTGTTTGTGTACGGAGGTTGTACCTCAAATATAATATGTTTGAGTTTCCATGATAATGAGTTTGATTAGTAGGCTTAATGATTGATCGGTTAAGTACTTATTATAATAGAAACCCATTAATGAGTAAAGTTTTGCATCTGTGTATTTGAGAATTATGATTAACAATCGCTTTGACTTGAGTTAAACTTTATCTTTGATATCTACTAGAAAATTGGCCCGCGCTCTGCGGCGGGTACTGATGAATTAGTATTGAAAATTAATATAGTCCTTAGATGGAGGTGAACATCTTAAGTGGTTTGAGAAGAATTGTGTGTTAACCTGAGACAGGTGTACTAACTGCTGTAATTAACTTCATAATCTCCTTAGAAAATTTGATAGGATTTTGGAATAAATAGTTTAATTTACAATTATACAACATGACTTCAAATTTGAATAGTTGAATGTATGATAATAATTTATGGTATTTCTTAGGCAATTATTGATTCGTGATTTGTAGAGGTGGCAAATCGATTGGATTTATGGATTGGTAGATCTATGGATCAAATGGATTGGTGGATTGATCCATGAATCCAAATAAAATCCAAGTCTTGACCAATATGTAAATTTTGAGAAGTTTATGTGCTAAAATCATATAATAAAAGTTTAGGTACTAAACTGCTATAATAAAAATTTTAAGGTACCAAATCATAATTTTCCAATGATATTTTTGTATAAGAAAATAAATTTAGGTACCAAATTGTAAAATATAAAAACTATAGATACTAAATTGTAATTTGCTATTTGGATCCGTGCATCAATCCATAATCCATCAATCCAATTGGATTTGGATCAAATGGATTAAATTTAAATGAATTGGATCTCTTGGATATTTAAGTGAATGGATTGATTAAGTGGATGGATTGAATTGGATCATAAATTGCTACTCTAGTGATGTGTGGCAAGATGGTAATGTACTTTAGTAAAATTTAGCTTATAAGTGGTATTTAAACTTTGTACAATATAAACCGAGAAAGAATACATTGTCCTTATACCTGATTTTTACCCTTTTTTATAGGCTCCATATTGGGGTGGTAATGAGGTGGATTTCCATAAAACATCATCATCCTCCTTTTCAAATAGTTAAACTCGTACTCATCCCATACTCATTTGAGGGAAGTTTTTGCAACCCTAACATCATACCCGCAATTTTCTGGTACTTATGTGTAATAGAAGCCTCATATATCCAATATTATTATGCCTAGAATTCAACATGTAGATATTCAATTGTAACACCAAACGGACCTAGTGATCATGAAATCAACAAAATTACAACTATTCTCAATATGAATTCAAAGCATACAATCCTAGAATATACATTAATTCATGAGATACAATACTATCCAAATCATTCATCTCTAACTTCGACATATCAATTAAACAGTAAACTACTGAACAAAAGGAAAAATGTGAAAGTGTAAAGGGAGAATTGATGGAAATAATTACATTTGAACTCTTTATTTTTTTTAAATTACCCTCCCGTCATAAAGAGATTACAATATACTGTTGACAAATTATTTAGAAAGGTTTATGTACTGTTGACAAAATTAATAGACATTGACCTAGGTACTATGATGACCATTTCATATTCTTCACAGCTATACCGTCCATTATACATATACAGTTTACATTTTTATCGCTCTAATGAAAGAAAAGTTTACAAAGACGAAATAAAGGTTTTACTTAATAGCAAACTTATTGTTATTTTAAGTATGGTAATAAATACTCCGTTTAATACATGTATATGTATTCGTATGTATTTTATCCCTTTAAAACTTTTGTATTCGTATTATTGTCAAGTCTTTTCATTTTTTTCGTTCATTAAATGACTCATGTACTAAACACGTAAAAAACCCGTATAACAGGTTTAATATCCGTATTTAATGAATTAAATTGTTTATAATTATTTATATTTTTTTAATAATTAATTTTTGTGTGTATGACTATTAACGAACTATTAAACGTAACATTAACTTAAAAACGAAGTAAAACATCCGTATGTATTTTATACGTAACTTTGACATACCATATTTTACTAAATATGGTTTTTAGGTGTGTATATCAACTACAACCCATAACCTCTTTCATAGCACCGTTTGATTAGGGTACGTCACGGAATGTGGATGGGTCTATTTCTCATGGATCTAGAAGGTGAATCGGAGATCCAGAGTTCTCTCGGAGAATTCGCCAGTAAACAACTTAGCCATCTGCCAGGGAAACAACCGCGCGTGAATAATCAGGAAAAATGAGGGCCTAAATAATTGGGTTCTCTTGAAGTCACTTTGATTTCGTAGACTAGAGAATCATAGATAGAGCCCTGCAATGCAATGAAAGATGGGAGGAATACGTTCGCTTTGCCGGTCCAACTTGGGCAGCCACCAGGGAATCGTCGGCGGGGATGAAAGGGAAAGAAACGGGAGAATCCTCTATACTTTCCTGACGAATCTCCGGCTGCTGCAATCACGGTGGACACAGCGTGCTCCTCCACCAATCTACCACTGGAGCTTGGTTGAATTTTCTAAGGCTGAAGTCTCGGAACGTGAGATATCTGCGGTGACGATGAAGATTGCATGTGAGGCCAAACTTGGTCAGCCTCCAGTCAAACTACGCAGGGAGATCAGAGCTAGGGGAAGAAAGTCGGAAAAAAATGACGGGACAAAAAAATAGGGAAAAGAGGTGCACGGAGAATTAGAGTGAACCTTATGACATCCAACCAAACCTCTTAAGTGTACTCGCCAATTAATATATCTAATAATAATAATAATGTTATGATTAATTTGTTAGTCACCAAAGTGGCCAAATTAGAAGGTTGGTAGATATTAGGTTGAATCAGGTTCACCTACTAATGTTTATGTGATGCTTTTAAGTTGAAGTTCGTGATTATAAAATATTTTGAATCGCCCAAAGGTTGATTACTCGTTTTATAATTCATGGACAGTATCGTGGTAAATTGATGTGCTTGGTTATATATATTTAGCATATCCAAAGATTGCATGTATATCTATTTTGAGTATGTCTATCACCAATTATATGATTATTTTGAGCATCAATTACGATTATTTCTTGCATATATATTGTTGGTTTGCCCAAAGGTAGCACCAATATATATTTTATGTTTATGCTTATGAATCTGTATTATAGTTTATGCTTCTTAACCAAGGCATTAATGTGTGAGTACATGTTATATATGTTTGCAGCATCTGTTCCTGTTTCTCTTCATTCGCAACCCACGTCTATTATTAAGTTTAATGGCCTCAACTTCTTTGAATGGGCTAAACAAGTTCAGTTTCACCTTGGTGTTCTGGATCTTGATTTGGCACTCTTAAGTGAGAAACCTACTTCTCTAACTGATGCCAGCGGTGCTGAGTAAAAGTCTTTCCATAAAGCTTGGGAAAGATCTAACAGACTAAGCCTAATGTTTATGTGAATGACTGTAGCAAACAACATTAAGTCAACTTTCAATGATACTGAAAGTGCTAAGGAATTTATAAATTTCGTGAAAGAAAGCTCTCAATTTGTGTCTGCTGATAAGTCGCTTGCTAGGACACTGATGGGTATGCTAACCACCATGAAGTTTGATGGTTCTCGTACCATGCATGAGCATATCATCGAAATGACAAATATTGCAGCAAGACTAAAGACCATGGGAATGGAAGTGATTGAAAATTTCCTAGTAACGTTCATCCTTAATTCTTTACCTCCAAAGTAGGCCACATTTCATGTGCATTACAATACTCTAAAGGATAAATGGAATGTGCATGAATTACAAAGCATGCTCATTCAAGAGGAAGCAAGGCTTAAGAAACCAAGAAATCATTCTGCCAATCTTGTTGGTCATAAAGGAGCTTGAATGAAACCATGGAACAAGAATGGGAAGGGCAAGGAAGGACTATCAAAGCTTAATGAGTCATCTGCCAAAATCCAGAAGAAGGAACCAAGTAAGGATATATGTCGCTTTTGTAGGAAAGCTGGACATTATCAGAAAGATTGCTGGAAACGAAAGGCATGGTTCGAAAGAAACGGTAAGCCTAGTGCCGCAATATGTTTCGAATCAAATTTCACTGAGGTTCCTTATAATACTTGGTGGGTTGACACTGGTTGTACGATTCATGTTTCCAAAACGATGCAGCCTGCAGGGATTCCTTACGAACCAAACCATAAGGCAAAATGAGAAGTTCATCTATATGGGAAACCGAGCCAAAGTTCTAGTTGAAGCTATTGGGACTTATCGTTTGGTTTTAGATACTGGTCATCATTTGGACCTTGTCAATACCCTTTATGCTCCTTCTATTTCTCGTAATTTGGTTTCGGTGTCTCAACTAGATAAGGTTGGGTATTTTTGGAACATTGGAAATGGTTCTATTAGTTTTTTCAAACATAATGTTTTATTGGGATCTGGTACCCTTATTGATGGTTTGTACAAACTAAAACTTGATACCCCATTTTCTGAGTCTCTCTTAACCTTGCATCATAATGTTGGTATTAAGCGTGGTTTGTTGATGAATCCTCTGCTTACTTGTGGCATAAACGTTTGGGTTACATATCCAAAGAAAGAGTGGAAAGGCTAGTAAAGAATGAAATCCTTCCTCATTTGGAATTTACTAACCTTGGAATTTTTGTTGAGCGTATTAAAGGAAAACACACAAAACACACACTTAAGAAAGCAGCTACAAGAAGCTCACAACTCCTTGAAATTATACACATGGATATTTGTGGGCCTTTTGATGTTCCACCACTTGGTGGAGAAAAGTATTTCATTACCTTTATCGATGATTTTTCATGTTATGAATATATCTATTTGCTACAAGAAAAATCTCAATCGGTAGATACTCTTGAGGTGTTTATCAATGAAGTTGAGAAGCAATTAGAAAGAAAGGTGAAAATTGTCAAATCTGATAGAGGTGGAGAATATTATGGAAAATATGATGAAAGTGGACAGTGCCCTGGTCCATTTACTAAGTTCCTAGAAAGATGTGGTATTTGTGCTCAATACACTATGCCAAGAACACCGCAACAAAATGGTGTTGCAGAAAGGAGGAATCGTACTTTAATGGATATGGTTAGGAGTTTGTTGAGAAATTTGTAGGCACCACATTTTTGTCCAGGGAAACAATCTACTCCAAACCCCGGAAGAAAAATGTGATGATCAATTGAATAAAATAAAATTTCGAAAGAAAAATTAATTGAGACTAGCAATGGCAAGTCAATAAGTACCAATAATTTCCAAGTTCCCTTTACTTCTTAGCAATTGCGGGTCAATAAGCACCAATAATACCAAGTTCACTCATATTTGATACTTAGATTGGATTAGTTTATTTTATTCTTGGATTGACAATAACTAAAATTGTTTAGAGCTAATGTTTTGGTTATAATGATCAAGGTTTTGACGTTGGGGATTTACACAAAGGTTAATCGAGGGAAAGTTTGACCAATTAAGATAAGAAAATACAAATCTAATGACGAATCTCTACATCATAATACATGCCCAAGAGTTACATTCTCAAATCCAAAATAAAATCATAAATGCAAATTCCCAAAAGCAAGGTTTACAATGTGATCACAAAAAAATAAGAAATGGGATGGAGGCCAAAAGCAAAGTTGGAGGATCTGCAAAAGAGAAGGAAAATCAGTCAGTTTCAGCCCAATTCATTCTCAATCAAGTCCTTGGTATGTTTCCCATCCCAAAGGACAGCAGAAATTTACCCAAGGGGAGCAGCAGAAGCTACAACCGCCCCCTAAAAACAGAGTAGAGCTGTAGAGGGCGGCCACCTCTCAAGTAGACCAACAAAATGCAGCCAGCACACAGAAATGAACAGTTAAAAAGCGTGTAATATATGATAGCCTTACCACAATAGGGGGGAGGGGTCGTTTACAAAGAAACAGACAGTAGTAAGAGTTACAAGCAAAAAGAAAGGGAGAGACCTCATTGGGGAGTGATTTTGGAGTTAGATTTCGATATGAGAAAGGGCATAATAGAGGAATAGCAAAAGAGGCTCAAGAAAAATACAAGCAGCAAAGAGAAGACAAGCAACAAGCAGAAAATCCAACAAAAGAACCACTTCACAGTTCGAGGTTGGTATTTCTCAAACACAAACCATATTTCATACGTGTAGAAAAGCAATCATTCATCTACCTAACAATCATTGTTGAAAATAGAAATGAATGTTTCTTTAAGACAATATGTATGTATATGGTAGATCTATGTGTATATGATAGATAAATATGCATATATTGAGATCTGCTCTTGCTACCACTTACTATTGTTTTTAGACCAAGTCATACATCGAACTAGCCACTAGTTTGCTTCTGACGGGGGATCTAATATAAAAGGCAATAAGTAGATCAGAATGTATGCTCTTTGCTAGATTTGGTTTTATGATTCTTATTGATTCCTATTTCAGTATTTTGTAATCTAAGTTGGTTCAATCAATATCCACAATGTATAAAAGGAATAGACAAAAATAGCAATTTTCTAGAATCCCTAATCAATATAAAAGCACGTTAACAAGTAGAAAAACTTAACCTTACAATCAATCCAAAAAACCATTATAGGTGTCAAAACATAGCCCGACCCGATTAACCCGCCCGATCAACCCGACCCGCAACCCGACCGTAACCCTAATTGACTAAAAGTCAACAACCCGTAACCAGCCCGACCCGCAACCCGATTGACCTACAACCCAACTAACCCGCAACCCGACTAACCCGCAACCCGATTAACCCGAACCCGATTGACCGGCAACCCGACTGACCCGCAACCCGATTAACCCGAACCCGATTGACCCGAACCCGACTAACCCGTAACCCGACCGGCTCAACCCGAATTTCATCTAATCCACTTGAATAATTATAAAAATATACAATACATAGTTTTTCAAAATAAAATTTTTCATTCTAAACTTAAGTAAAATTATTTTTTCATTTCGTATGTGAAATTTTAAAAATATGAAACTCACTTGATATTACGTATTTTAAGAAAATTACAAAAATTGAAACATGAAGGTCACTTGAGATCATGACAATATTAATATAATATATAAATTAAAATTTTGGTTAATTTAACTATTCAATAAAATTATCAATTAAATATAAATAAAGTAAAGTAATGTATTTGGTAATTTGATGTTTTTAAAAGAAGAGGGAAATTTTGGTGTATTCAAATTTTTGGGAAGAGAAAGAAGAGGGAAATTTGGTTCTTTGAATTTTTTAGAAAAGAAACAAGTGGGAATTTTGGTGGTTTTGATATGTGGGAAGAGAAAGAAGTGGGAAAGTTTGATTTTTTTGCTTATGAAAGAGAAATAAGGAGGAAAACTTTTGACTTTTCAACTTTTTGTAGAAGGAAAGAAGAGGGTAATTTGGTTCTTTCAATTTTATGGAAGAGAAAGAGGAGGGAAAATTGAGTTTTTCTAATGTATGGAAAGAGAAAGAAGGAGGGAAATTTTAGTAATTTTGTGAAAAGAAAGAAGGAAGCAAATTTGGTGTTTTCAATTTTTTGGTTTTTCATAATTTTAGCTTTTGAAATATGAATCTTTAACTTTTATATGGAGGGCATGACTAGTTAAAATTATTTTATATGCTTTGAAGGCTAATATGTATATATGTATGTAATTTTTTATGGATAAGTAATTTATACTAAACTTGAGAAGTAATCTTTGACGGTTCGTTGT